AAAAAAAAAAAAAAAAAAACAGAGGTTTGAGAGAATATGAGATGGGTCACCAAATCAAAGAAGGCAAAAAGATTTAACCTGTAAATAATAAAGACAATTTTGTATTTAGAAGTAGTGTTAATAGCACCAGTGCTTCTGGGACAAGCACATCACACAAACTCTCAGATAAGATGAATAAATTGGCCATTGATGATTGTGGAAAGATTGGATGTTTTGTTAGAGTATGGCAGGCAAGGCGGCGTGGCAGCGACGACAGCAACACGTCAGGGGCAGAGCGGGATGGAGATGTCCTCCTCCTCTTTTCTCATTCTCTCAGTCTTTTTCTCTCCTTCTCTCTCTCTCTCTCTCTCCCCCCCAAAAAAAACTTGAAAAGAAACCCAGAACAAGGGAAATTTGAAAAAAAAAAATTCTTTTTCAATTTACTCACCAAAACAATATCGTTTTGGTGAGTTTAAATCTCAGCCCTTGGAGGCTGAGTGGGACACGTGTCGCGCATCCTTTCCTCACTGTAGGAGATCACTCTAGGGAATTACTCTAGAGGATCTTAACGCATAGCCATAAGGCCATGTACTCTTGTAGGTACATGAACCGAGTGTAGTGGGAGTCTATCTATATTGATATTAGGCTATGTTTGAATGGATAAAATATGAAAATATAATGAAATTTTATTTTGTCTTCTTCATTTTATTTTGAAATAATATTAAAATGAATATTTATTTATATCATCTTCATTTATCATTTCATATATCAATTTATTTGTTAATATTATACTGAAGATATATATGAGTGATAAGAATTATTACATCAATATCATGTTATTAAATAAGATGAGAAGCATTATATCTTAAAAAATATTAAGTGTAGCATTATTATTTATTTTATATGTGTTCGAAATAAAATATGGAAAGTGATTCTTACTTTTTCAATAGAAAAATGATAATCTCATTCCTTCACTTCTCTAGCCAATTTTTGCAATTAAAGAGTTGCAAGAGCTGAGATTAATGATCGGTTTGATGAATAAGATAATTTTATATTCAATGTAATAATCAAATTCAAGTCTTATTGTCATATGATATAATTTTGAGAAAATTAAAATTTACTTATAATAGTAAAAAAAAAAAATACAGAATAACAAATAAAAAAAAAGTATAACATTTTAATTATTAAAATTTATCATTGATTTGTAATTTTTTTCCAAACCTACACTATGTTGTTAGTTTTGTTATAGTTTTTTTGTCCATTTAGGAGGAAAGGGGAATGCAAGAGAATTTGGGCCAATACTAGAATTTCACCATCTTCTAATAGTAAATATTAACTAATTTAAATGCTAGAATTCATTAATTTAAAAATGAGAAAATTGGTGACAAATCTAATTTAATGAGGGTGTAAGGCATTAGATTCAATGAATATTTTTTATTGGTGACAAATTCACGTTTTGTGAAATAGTTTGGTGAAAAATCCTAGCAGATATGTTGTTTCTAATTTTACCCCTTGCCTTATTTTTATTTATTTGACTTTTCGTTGACTAGTTGTTTAAATTTTTTGCCTATTTGTTCAAATTTATATCTATCTGTTCAATTTTTTTCCTTAATTCTATTCAACTGTTCAATTTGATATTTATCTGTTCAATTTTTTCCCCTAAATTCTATCTATCTATGGGTTTCTGTTCAATTTTTTCTCAATTCAAAAAATTTATATGTTCAATTTTTCTTGTCTGTTCAATTTTCTATGTTTATCTGTTCAAATTCTCATACATACATAGACATAGAGAGAGAAAGGGGGTACTACAATTTTATTTGTTCAAAATGTTGCCTATCTTTAGGAAGCTCTCATACACACACACTCACAAATACATAAACATATATTATTCAACATCAACAACAAGAAGAAAAAATCTGTATATGTATGAAATGAATGTGCTTTGCAATTTTTATCTATTAGATTTTTTTTTTTATCTATTACAATGAACATCAACAACAACAAAGAACAAAAAATAATCAGATCATCAACAACAAGCCTGTAATAACCCCGACCTGTGATTAGCGTATAATCTTTGATTAAGAGTGTCTAATAAGTAATTAAGATGAAATTCTACGTTAATTGCATGTGTTATATGTTATTTGCATTTATATTTGTCTGTTGTTGAAAGATTTTTCTATGGTTATGTTTCATTATGTAAATTGAAGGCCTTATCGGTATCTGATCACGCAATTGACTTGATTTATGTGTTATTTGAAATTTTTAGAACGTTATGGTAGATTCAATTGAAATTCGATTCGGAACCAAATAATTAGAATAAAATAAATATAACCATTTAATCTAAGCAAGAATTAATTACTTTCACTTATGGTATCTATAAAAGCTCAATGTTGTCTCCTACCACCACTATGCACACACTTCATCATCTTTTTGCCATCAAAAAGGTGAGAAGAGAGGGAGAGGAAGAGATTGAAGCTTAAGGAAGAGAACAAAAGAGGGATTGCTAGTCAATTGAAAGAAATTGGATGAGTTGTGCAAGAAATTCCTAGAATTCAAAGAATTGGGAACTCTAGGTAAGAATTGTATTCCTAAAGTTTGTAGTCAAGACATTAGTGTAAGAATTCTAGAGATTAAAGTGTTTAAACATGAGAATTGAGCCAGAAATGAAGGAATTGAAATTATATCGTGCATGCATGCATTTTTTTTTACATTTTGAGCTTAATTTTCAAGAATTCTCACATGCATGTGGCAATTGTACCTTAATTTTGGGAATTCATCGTGTTTTCTATCATTTTACCTGTTTTGATCATGATTTGGAGGCTTTGAATTCAATTCAGTACATGCATGCTATGCTTTCAAAGTTTCAAGTTGAATTTTGGACAATTGATTTACTTTTAAGCCTTGATTTTGCAAAATGATTCTTAATTCTTGATGTTTTACAAGTTTAGGCATGTTTTCTCAAGTTTTAAGCCCAAATGATGTGTTTTAAAGCTTTGAAATTGAGTTTTGTATCTTAAACATCAATCTGGAAATTTCAAAATTCTACATCATCACTTGAGCGACAGAACCGACGCTCGAGCGACCACTCTTTGTTTTGCACTTTCGCTCGAGCAACCAAAAGTTGGCACGAGCATAAAATTCATGCTCCCAATACTTTTGCAAACATGAGCCTTCTCTTGAGCAAAGAAAACTGTACTCGAGCCATCGTTCCTATTTTTGAACCTTAGCTCAAGTAACTAGAAGTTACACTCAAGCGTAAAATGAGAGCTCCTAGAAGTTTTACAGAATTTTACAGTCCACTCGAGCGAAGATCATGTTTTCAGAAATTTGACTAAGTGTTGCAACACATATTTTGGCATCCTCATTGCATCTTAAGCATTCATAAGCCTTAATTAAGACATAATAATGAGGATAAGAGTTAGAAACACACTAAGATAGAAAAAAAAACAAGTAAGTGATTTCAGAATGTGTGTTTCAATGTGTATCCACTATGTGTTCGTGTAGGTCACGTACCTTAGCTGCTTGGTTTATTTGATTTGTCTGATCTACTATTGGAGCCATCTGTGAGTAATAACTCTGTAAAGTTATGTTTGATTTTAATTATTTTCTAATGATACAAAATGATCAGTTTTCTAAAATGCTATGTTTTATATGAATGAATGATTGTCCAAGTTTCTGAAATGTATTCGTGACATCCTTAACATCATACGATATGCGTCCCTTTATGGGCCATCGGAATGCCTTTATGGCTGTCCATTTATGGGTCATCGAAAACGTCTCTGTGCACATCAGTCATCGGAATGCCTTTATGGCTGTCCATTTATGGGTCATCGAAAACGTCTCTGTGCACATCAGTCATCGGAATGCCTTTATGGCTGTCCATTTATGGGTCATCGAAAACGTCTCTGTGCACATCAGTCATCGGAATGCCTTTATGGCCGTCCCTTTATGGTTCATCGGATTTGTTAATGCTAATGAATGTACCACGTATGATCATGTAAAATATATGAACTTTGGAACATGAATATGAATATGTATCTATTTCTGAATATGTATCTGAATTCTGAATCTGTTATAGATATCATTCATTAAAACATTTACTCTATTATTATTCACTAGCCTCCAGCTCATCGTATTATTTATGTATGTAGGTGATCAGGTTCGTGACCAGGCCTAAGCTGTTGCCTGGAGATCAGTTTTGTCTAGCCAACCACAGTGCCTCTTGTGGAGGTTCCGAAACCTACTTATGGTCAATGTTTTGTGATCCAGAATTCTGTTTAAGTTTTCTTTTGTTTTATTTGTATGTTGGGCTAAGTCCCATTTTGGTTATCCATAAGTGACGTGACGTAAAATTATTGCTTATATGACATTACATTTATATATATAAAGTTTT